GCGGGTGTGGGCCGCAGAGACGCAGGCCACGGAGCGCGAGTGTGGGCCACAGAGACACAGACCACAGAGAGCGGGTGTGGGCCGCAGAGACGCAGACCACGGAGTGCGAGTGTGGGCCACAGAGATGCAGACCACGGAGTGCGAGTGTGGGCCACAGAGATGCAGACCACGGAGCATGAGTGTGGCGATCAGATCCCACACCCACCTGTGGTCATCACCCATCGTTCCCCTCGCCCCCAGCTCAGCCCAACCAGAACACACATGCAGCTCAGTTCAGCCCCCCCAGGACTAATGGAGACACCACTAGCTCTGTCTGGGCTGTGAGCCAGTCCTTCATCACCTCCACATGAGGCCAGTTCACCCCTCCCAAGAACTGACCTGTAACGTCCAAGCGGAAGGAGACCTTCTGGCCCCCGGCCTCGCAGCTGTACTCCCCAGCGTCCGCCTGCCCCGCCTGCTGCACCACCAGCCGCCTGCTGCAGCCCTTGGCCTCCATGTGCACTTTCGAGCTTGCACTCAGCTTCTTCCCGTCCTTGAACCACAACACCTCCGTCTTGTCCTGGGCCACCTCGCAGCTCAGCGTGGCGCTCGCCCCTGCCTCGGCCTGCACCTTCCTGCGCACCGGCTGATCCTTGGCAAACACCACCATGGGCTCTGGGGAGAGGAGGGACACGGGGTCAGAGACAATAAAATTTCTAGAACTGAATGAGAGCCTACCTTCTGGATCTCAAAACTACAATGCCTGCCCTGCCCTGGCTTTCTCAACAGAGAGAAGTTGACACTCAGAAGATGCAGAAAGCAGGGAACAGGTTAGTTCTCAGATTCTGAAGGCTCCCAATTCAATAATTTTCAGGTTGGTATATGTTACAATTTAGGCTCTGGCATCTATTTATCAGTGGTGATTTCAGAATTATCTTAACAAATGGAGGCACGATCTGAGGCCAGCACATCAAAGCACAGGTATTTTCAGGGAGACATTCTTATGCAATGTCACCAAGAATGCACCATATCCCTGAGTCACAAGAACAGCGATACTAGGGCTGCCAACGTGGTCCACAGCTCCCAGCAGGCCAGTCACCAGTGGTGGAGTCCAATCCTCGGCCTGGAGGTCAGATGTCGTGTTTTCATTAACTTACTACTTTTGCATCACAGCACATTATTCTAGGACCCCTTCTGTTGCTCTAGACTAGATTTCCTTTATGAAGTACGTCCGTGGGTAATTCTTTCAGCAAGTTTCTGTGAACAGTACATGCTCTCCAACTACTCTCTGAGAAAGTCTTTAATTTGCCCTGACTTTTGAACGATAGTTTAGCTGGATAGAGAATTCCAGGTTGACAGTCATTTTCCCTCAGTACTTGGGAGATTATGCCCTTTTTCTGTGCTCTTCATTACTGCTGACAAATCTACAGGAAGGATAACTGTTGTTCCATAAAACTTTTTTCTCTCTGGTGGTTTTAAGATCTCCTCTTGGTTTTTGGCCTTCTGCAGTTCACCATGATGCATTTAGCTGTGAATTTATTTTCTTTACATTTCCCATTATTTCTCGTGGGTCTTGAAGTTTCAGAATCATATCTTTTATCATGCTAAAAATTCTCTGCATGATTCCTTTCATCATTTTATCTTCATCATTCTCTCTAGTCTCTGCTAGAAATCCCTTTAGACATATGTGTGGCCTTCTGTTTCTCTTCTCCATATTCAGCAATATCTCTTATTTTTTTTTTATCTCTTTGTGAGTCACTCTGAGTCATTTCCTCAGATCCATCTTCCAATTCAGAAATTCTCTCTCCAGCTACATCTAATTTGCTGTTTATCCCTCTACTAAATTGTTCATTACAAATGTTGTATCTCCTATTCAAGAAGTTTCATTTGGTTCTTTGATTCTTCCCATTTTTCCCTAGTATTTTACTTTTTTCTTATGTTTTCAAGTGTCCCACATATCTCTTTAATCATTGTAAATATGTTTATGTTAACTACTCTTTCAGATTGTTGTTCTATCATCTCACTGTTTTAGTCTCCCATTTCCCCTTCCCTTCCAGGACCTGGACACTTCCCTTCTTTTCCTTGCAAGTTCAGGTATTAACCTAACCTGACTTTGCTACCTTGTGCCCCACATTTTCAGATGTTCATGGTGGGAGAGTTTCACACTATAGAAGTCTCTAGTACTGCTGGAACCAGAAATCCAGATGGGGCGTTTTTAACTCTGCTTTTCCACAGGAGAATATTCAATTTCATCTACTAGGGACTTTGTGCTTCAGGAACACCTCTCTATTTTCCCAGTGGAAGCTGGCAGAAGCTCTGAACTCCCCTGAATTGGATTTTTAATCTTTTTCTAAAAAATGCATTTGTGTCCAAAATGCAAATGGTTCTATTTTTATGCCTTAAATGTATTTTTCACGGAGGAAAAGACAAAGTGTCCAGCTGGCTGTCTCCTTCTTGCTCATCCTCAAGGACCTGGCACCATGTGGGGCAAGTGGCTGCACAGCAGGCAGTGGGGATGACCCAGTAATCCACGTGGTGATTGATGGGGCTTCCGGGGGCCACGGTCGGCCTCTGCCGCAGTGGGCCTTCCCCTCTGCTCTCTCTCCACCACCTCAAAGCCAGGCTTTGGAAAACAGCAACAGACGCCGGCTGTGTCTGCTTCCTCACCTCAGGTTCACCTCACCAAAGCCCACGGGCCCATCCTTCAACTCCTCCCTTGCCTTGCTGATTTCTCTGTGGTGTTAGCACCCTAGCCTCACCCTTTGCATGAAAGTCCTCTCTTGGCCCCACGACAGGGCCTTCCCTGGGTTCTCCCCTGCCCCTCTGAACCTCTCCCTTTGTGGTCCTGGCTCCCTCAATGTGTCCCAGGGAATACTCTCTCCTTCCAGGCTGCCTCTTCCCCCAGGTTCCCCGACCCATGCCCAGCCTCTCCCACCACCAATGGGTCAACAAATCCCAAGTCTTCCCTCCAGCCCAGCATCGACCGAGGCCCATGCCCAGACAGCTGACCACCCCCTGGAAGTCAAAGGCACCCATGCTGGCTCATCACCCACTCCTCCCAGGACACCTGCCCCCGTCTACCTGCCCCATCCATGATAGTGGCCTCTCCATCTATGCATCTACCAGGCCTGCAATTCGCCTTGCGTCTCCTCTCTCTCTCAGTCCCACACCCACCTGACCACCACTCTCTCCACTCCACCCCCAACTCCCTCTCCATCCCCTTGACCACGGCCTCTGTTCCAGGCTGGGCATCTCCTGCCTGGTCTCCCTGTATCCAAATCTGTTCTCCCTAGTGTAGCCAGAGTGGTCATTACAAAACCCAAATCTAAACGGGTCACTTGTGCTTTCCCACACCAGAATCAAGAGGACAAGAGCCCACTCCCCTCAGTGGATGCTACAAGGGGGCGTCCAGAGGAAGTCCTCTGCAGTGAGATGCCCTTGGGGGCCAGATGGGTCCCAGCGACATGAGGGCCTCAACAACAGTCCACGTGCTTCTCATGGACTTGATGCCCACCTGTGCACCTGCCCACATCTGCTCTCCTAGCGACGACACTCTTGCATTTGAAACCACCACTTCTCATCTTCATCTCTTCACCGGTGAGGCTACCACTGGGTGCTCTGCAAACCGACGAATCCTCACAAACTCCACCACGTGAAAGCAGATAACACCCAACCACGGCCAACTGTCCCCACGGCCATGGCCAGCGGTCACACACACCTTTCAGACGGCAGAGTACAGCACCTGCCACTCGTTTCGTGGCTCCAGACTCTCCAGGGCATAGCTGCACCAGGTCTCTGTTATTTTTGATGTTCACTTCACAGAAGAATTCAGACTAACCTTGAGGGGAATTGTGCACCTTGTATACATGTCCCCAAATCACTCCTGGTCACACTGTGCATGTGTATACATGTGTGTGTATGTCTGTGTGTGTGGGCATGTCTATATGTATATGTGTGTGGGGTGTGTGTATGACTGTATGTGTATGTATGTGTGTGCATGTCTATGTGTGTGTATATGTGTGTTTTTGAGTGGGTATGTGTGTTTAAATACATGTATGTGTGTATGTATACACATGTATATATGTTTGTTGTGAGCATGTATGTGTGTTTAAATGTGTGTGCATGTGTGCTTATGTAAATGTGCATGTATGTGTGCATGTCTGTGGCATATATATTTGTGAGTGTGTATGTGTGTTGGATGTGTGTGTATATTTGTGTGTGTGTCTATGCATGTGTATATATATGTACATGTTTCTCAGCATATATGTGTGTGTTTAAATGTGCATGTATGTATGTGTGTGTGTTTGAGATGGTGTACCGATGGCTGCACTTGGGGAGGAAGCATGTGGGAGCCCTCCACGATCACTCTAACCCCACAGCTGAGTCCACCCTATGAGGTCCCCAGCTACACAGTGGTCTGCCTTCAAAATTCACCTGAATGAATTACAAATATCACTGTAAGGATGCTTAGGATTTATCCCACAGTAGAAATGCAAGGTTTGGGTTCGTCTGCATAGTTATACAAATTAAAACTCGTATTTTTACAAAAGCATCTACGGGTGGTTCCATTTCTAGGCATGCACACTCCACCGTGTCTTGCTCACCGAATGCAGCTACAAGGCCACAGAGCAGCTATTTGAGGGCTCTCAAAGTAAGTAATAGCAGGTGGATTGGGGGGAAAAAACAGAATTCCAAGTCCCACTAAACCAAAAGTGATTCCACCTTTTTCCCCTGGCCCGCACACAGGGCAGCCCAAATCCAGAAGCGGCTCCACAGCTCTCCTACAAGGTGTGGGGAAGGGAACCCCCTTCAGGGAGAGTGGAAGACACTCTACTTTTTCTCCATGCTCTCACACTTCAGCCCATGAAGATTTAAGACCCTAAGACTCTGAGGAAAGGGCACATTCCTCTCCACCTGAAGGAGCTCTGGTCCCAGGAGGGAGGAGTGAGCCCCTGACCTTTCTCTCTGTCCCCCCATCACCGATTCTGACACAGGTGGTGCCGTGGGAAGCAGGCAGCATACCTTAGGCTCCAACTACGGACCTGAAAAGGAACTCTCAGGGTCCCAGAGAGACTGCAGAGGGAGAAGCTTGGGAACGTGGCCACAGAGGTCACTTAGGAACTCCAGGGCTCACCCCCAAGCGATGCGTGAGTGGATCTGACCCTCATCAGCCCACCAAGGACTTTGAGCCCTGAACTAGGACGCAAGCCACTGTCCAGGGCCACACTGACCACTAGGTGGGCATGTTCACGACAGATCCAAACTGCACTGCAAAGCCTTTGGAAACAGAACCCACGGAAGGCTGGCAGGAACCCACAGCCTGAACTCAACCTGGCTAATTTCCCGCTAAAAAAATTCCATCTTCCCCATGGGATGTAAGAAGACCCAGTCTCACAATATAGTGTTCACCACACCCAGGGCACAATCCACAATCACTGGGCCCGTGAAGAACCCATAAAACTCCCCCTTCACACCCATCGGAAAGACTATTAGCAGATATAAACGTCAAGAAGACACAGACGTTGGAAATATCTGGCAAAGACTTTAAAGCAGCTATTACAAAAATACTCCAAAAAGTGAAAGCAAATACCCTTGAGAGGAATGGAAAAACAAAAAATCTCAACAAAGAAATACAAGATGTGAAGAAGAATCAAGTGAAGATTTCCTAAGTGGAA